TCTGGAAACACTGTTTCATTATTCTAAATGTGCTGTATTTTTCTTAGTCAATCATGATTCCCTGACCTACGTCTCATGATTATTTAATCACGCGCCAAAGTTTAAAATTAAATATTATTCTTCAGAGAAAAATTGGGTGCTGATAATAAAAAAAAATTGCAAGTTGGTGCTTTCTTGACTGGTGCTCCAAAATTCCACGCAAATTATTCTTCTTATATTTACCATAAAGAATCTAATGATTTGACTACACAAATTAAATAGTTTTGATTAGGTATTTCAAATAATGGAATCCACCCAAATGTATGGTTTGTTCTAACTTTCATTTATTTGATTTATTTTATTGAATTTTAATATATTTGAGTTTGTGTTGAAGAGAAATTGAGTCGAGTACAAACGAGTTTTAATCGAGCTTGGGTAGCCTAATAATTTGTTCTATTTATCGTGTTTTTTTTTTCTTATCAAACACGAACTCAAATCAATCTTCATATTTTGTCGAACAAAATATATTTATACGACCTAGGTCTTGAATGTGTGAGTCAAACATTCATAAACTAAGCTGATGTTGGTCCAGCTAAACTCTTTCGACGCTCAAGTCAGTGATTTAGACAGGTAGGTGGGTAGGTCGATAAGAATTGTAGAGAACTCAAGGTGTAAAAATAATACGTAAATCAAAAATACGAGCTTGACGATTTATTATAATTTAATTGGGGTATTTGCACTCGGCTCCCCTGTGAAATGTCTAATTGGCAAAAAAACCCCTCGGATAAAAAAATTAGCAAATACCCCCCTATGAAAGGAAGTCAATGACAATAAGGACCCTACGAGTGAATCGTGGGATACACTCGCGGTTCATGCAGCTGGGCGTGCGTTTTAGGACATTTTAGGACAGGAAAAGACATAAAAACCCTTTGGTAGAGGAAAAAGACCCAGATTGATTCAATTATAAATAATCTAAAGTTACAGGACTAAATTGTAATTATCAAATTGTGGGCTGAAATCACTATTTTGGAAAAAATATCGTCTTCCCCAAAATCCAAATTTCTTCTTCGCCATTGAAATCACCACCACCAAATTCCCACCACCACCACCACCACCACCGGCAATCACCTCGTTATGCCGCCGCCTCCAAAATGAGAGAAGAGCATGTCTTCCCCAAATTTCTTCTTATACCCCATTGAAATCGCCACCACCACCAAACCCCCATCACCACCTCCGGCCATCACCTCTTCCCGCCAGACCCACCCCTTTCCGTTTACAACATGTCTCCGGCGGCGGGGAGTTTGTTCTCCGGCGCGAGTCGGTACTCGACGGAGACAACGACGGCGGGAAAGTACTCGGCGATGTCGTTGCAGAAGTTGTGGAAGATGACGGTGGAGGCGCTGAAGAGGACGAAGTCGCCGCCGTGTACCCCCTTCTTCAATTCTTCCCCCAGCGTCTTCAGTTCCTCCCCCCAACAATTCAGAATTTCAGCCCAGAATTAGGTGAGAAAATCGAAATTGAACACGATTCAGAGGGTAAGGAAGTCGAGGATGGGTTCCAGTGACCTTGTGTGCCGGCGATTTTCTTCGGGAGCAAACTCCACCTTAGAGGTTGCGAAAAATCCCGTTTTATTTTGAATTGGGTGGAGCTTTTGACAGAGATGAATTGGATCTCGATTGGGTTTGAGATTTGTCAGGCCAGAGAGATAATTTGTCAGGCGGCGGTGATGCCGAAGTTTTTCCGGGCTGGGAGGTGGGCGGCGGAGTGAAACGAAGAAGAAGATCTGAAAAAATCTTCAATTTTTATCCCTTATTGCAATTTTGGAAATTTTAAAATTTACAATTTGGTCCTATAAATTATAGTTATTTATAATTTGACCACTCATCAAAGAAATAATTTTTGCTTTATTTTTTATTAAGGACAATTCTGTCATTTCACGTAAGTCAACGAGCCAGTGCACACAAAGGGGCGGTGGGCTGACTAAAACACAACATAGGGGGTTATATGCTAATTTTTTTTTCCGGGGGGGGTTTTTGCTTCCGAGAAATAACACAGGGGGGTCTATGCAATTAACTCTAATTTAATTAGTAGAATTGTTATTAGAGATTAACACTAAGTAAAATTAGAGTTCGTAAAGGACTTGTATAATTAAATTATTGAGATTGACCCGTTAATTTAATTATTTGCATACATGTTGTGTTTTGAGGCCTTTTGATGGCCCGGTATAAAGAATAATTTATGGGCCTATTAGGACGGCCCAAATACATCGTTCGTCATCTTTCTTTCTTTTATTTTTTTGGACCGATGATTCGACATCTTTCAATCATTGAAAGTTATAAGAAATTCAAATTTTCTGAAATTGAAAAATTAATTTCAATTCCGTTTTTTCGTTCTCGTAAAAGTTGGAAATCGAGACATAAATATTGTTTAAAATATAAGTTCGTAATGTAGTCAGAATATAATTTCAGAAATTAAAATTGGATCGAAAATCGTAATTTAGTATACAATCTCCATTATGAAAATTTTAAAAAATATTAAAAAAAATCATAAAATATAGAATCAAAAGTGAGGAGAAGTGAGAGAGATTCTACTCAAACGTAAGAATCCAACGGCTTGAAAAAAGGCTGTCAAAGTTTGTTGTAATAATTTAGTTTAGATTTGATGGCAAAAGGGGAATATTTAATATTTAATATTTAATATATTTTTTCTGCTCTCAGCCAATCGCTTTCTGGTTAGATCACACAGCAGAGTAGTAATCCAGCAGTTTGTCCCACCCCACCTGATTGATTCCTTATCCCTTATGTGTTGTACCACACGCTTTATCCGTCGCCCAGCAACTATTGCCACGTGGCGCACCGCACTCATACCACGTTTTCCTTCTCCTTTTTACTCCTTTTACTTCCTTACTATTTAAAATTGGATAAATTACAGTCGCCCCTGAAGTTAGGTTAAATTACGAAACATACCCTACTGTTTGGGCAATTACAACCACCCACATCAACTATGAATTTTCTTACACGTCTACTCTTATTGTGTCAAATTCAACATAATCTTCTAGATTCCGTGTAATATTCTTCAATTTCTAACCATTTTATCCTATTCGAGCTCGATATTCCGAAACAAGATGATCATAAGCAGGGGCGAGTCCACCCCTTTGGGAGGGTGGACTCAAGCCCACCCTTAAATTACAAATTTTTCCCCATATTATACTTATTTATCTATTAATCCCACCCAATATTTATTAAATAACCCACCTAAAATCCAAATTAATGCAAAAAAAGCCTCAAATTATTATTAATTAGTCCACCCAAAATTCAAAATTATGCAAAAACCCCTTTTTTCTTCTTTTTTTTCCCTATTTTTTTTATTTAGTTACAAAAAAGTCCTAAACATTTTCGGGGGTATACCCCAGAAAATTTTAGCCCACCTGTATCACATTCATGGACTCGCCACTGATCATAAGATGTGTACCTTGCCTTGTACATATGAGATTATGGTGCATCAGAAACTGCATTTTTACACAAAACGAGTAAGTACTAGAGAACTTTCCACATAATCTAGAAGATTATATTGAATTTGACATCATAAGAGTAAACGTGTAAGAAAAATCATAATTGAGGGATGTGGTTGCAATTACCCAAACTCGAGGGGGGATTTTCGTAATTTACTTAAGGGGTGACCATAATTTACCCTATATATGTATATATTATTTCTTTATTAATTATTTTTTAGAGATGTTTGTTTTATTTATTTTTTATGAAAATCCAATAATAAAACATGATCTTACAAATTCAAACAAAGATTTAATACTTGTGGGTTACAACTTATGTTGTCATGTGGATTGTCCTTTTGTTGAACAAAAGTTTACGGTTTTAATAAAATTGTCATAATTCACAAACCTTTAATTTAATTTGTGCTATCAACCAAAATGGACCGTCCATATTAATTTGACTTTGTTGACAATATTCTTTGGTCTTGTAACACTAATACACAATTCAATAATCTGATAGTGTTTTATGTTATTATATAGTTTTATATAATATTTGATAATATTTTCATTACTGAATTGATATTTATTGATTTGAATTAATAGATCAGAGAATAATTTCAATATTTATTAATCTATCATATTTTAGAATTTTAATTTCTTCTCAAACTCTCTCAACCAATAAAATCTCTCGACGTTAATTTTCGACTCATACTATAACAGATTTGAGGTAAACTCTACACTTTTACGAATATTGAATCATGTATATCTCGAATAAAAACCGAATTTTGCTATTTCCATGTTGTTCAACACGAAACCCGATTTTCAGTTTCTCTTTTCCCTTTTTTTAATTCCATGTTATTTAACACGAAATTCCATAATCGATATAGAGATTTTGTATTGACCAATACGGAATAACCAATTTTGTTTTGAAAAAACAAAAAAAAACAAAAAAATTGCCTTAAAATTGTGATAATCGTCGACAATTTGCTAGATTGAAAAAGGAGAGAATTTGTTCAACTCTTGGATTTTTTTAAATTATGCTGGAAATATTTGCGTAACCTATCAAAAGCCCTTCTGCGTCTATCAAGCCCCAATAAATACACCTAGATTCCGCACAAATTTGCCTTAATTTATATAGAAGTATCACAAATTTGCCTTAATTTATATAGAAGTATTTACATTGTTTATTCCAATTTAGAAGGCTACAAAATTGAATTTTATATCTTAATTATTGTGTAGGTAAAATAGTTGAACAACTCTAGTTATTGTGGATAATAATTTTGAGCTAGAGTAATTTCTTATCCTACTATTTTCGTATTCTAATTAATATACATTAAAGTCGATGAAAATAATTTTCTTCAATTATTTTATAAATAATACTATTTTTTACATTTATTTATTATTTATTATTTATTTACATTTAAGCTACAGGAAAGAGATAGAGATGAAAATTGAAATATGCGACGACGTGAAAAAGACTCTTCCCATTTTTATTTATTATTTAATTATTTTTTAATATAAATAAACACAATTATCTGTTAGCGCAACAGCGTAAATCACATTGCCCTCACCTCTGTCAAAAATCGGCGTTGTTCACCAGAATCTTCTCTCCTTTCTCTCTCCTCTGTTTCTCTCTCTACAAATACATACATACACATATACATACACGTCCTGGTTTTCACACTGCTCACTTGCAAATTACTGAACCACGGATTCGAGATCTGGAAGAAAAAAAATGAGCTCGTTAATCCCGCCGGAGCTCACCTTAGATTGCGGCGGCGCTTCACCGGAAACTAGGGTTCCGACAACAACCGGCAATTTCCTCGTCGGAATTTCATCGATTCAAAATTCGCCGGAGAAGATTTCGAAGCTCGAAGACTACGTTAGCAGACTGGATGACGAGATGAAGAAGATCGACGCTTTCAAACGGGAGCTCCCTCTCTGCATGCTCCTCCTCAACGACGGTGAGTTTCTATTTTTTCTTCAATTTCCCCATTTTACCCCTCACCGGAATTTTTTTTTTTCAATTGCAGCAATTGCGAAAATTAAGGAGGAGCTAATTCAGTGTAGGAACTCAATTACAGAACCAATTATAGAAGAATTCATACCCTTGAAGAAAAGCTTACCCAAAAAAGAAGATGATAAAATTGATTCAGTAGACAAAATGAATTGGATGAGCTCCGTACAGCTATGGAATTCAGATAATCATCCAAATACAGAAAATAAAAAGGTAACAAAACAAAAAATTAAATAAAAATTGTAAGAATTTCTCTGTTATGCGTACTTATGAATTTCTCTGTTTTTTGATGAATAAGAAATGGGGAGGAGTTGATTTGATCAAGAGTGGTAATAACAGGACAGAAGGAAGGGCATTTTCGTCTTTTAAAAGATGTGCTGATTTACCAGCTCTTTCTCTAGCTACACCAGAGATCAAGAATTCGAAGAAGGAGGAGATTTGTTCGAGCGATTTCAGCCCGAAATCGAGTTCTAGCAGATCGGGATCTTCGTCTGCAACTAATACCGACCAATCGAATTCCAAATCCAAATTACCGAACCAAACTAGCCGGAAACAGAGGCGGTGCTGGTCGCCGGAGCTGCACCGCCGCTTCATCAGCGCGTTGGAGCATCTCGGAGGCCCTCAATGTTAGTTCCAATTCCGAAAACTAACTATTTCACAATTATTATTTTTTTCGATAATTTTTGGATTGGTAACAAAAACGGAATCTTGAGTCTTGAGAGTCTAAACGACGTTGGATTGCCAACCGAAATTCGAATGTCGTCCGGAAAATAATATTTTTTTTCTTGAATAAGTTGTTTCCTACGTTTCTTTGTGTCTTGTGAAAATCGATTTGATGGGCTAAACGCAAGAGCTTTAATCGATATCTTACATGATTTAATCTCGTGAAAATATTGGTTAATGATGTAGCAATGTTCTTCATTTAATTTGATATTCGGTTTTTAATTTTTATGATATATATTATTTTTTGCAGCCGCTACTCCGAAGCAAATTAGAGATCTTATGCAAGTGCACGGCCTAACAAACGACGAAGTGAAGTCTCATTTGCAAGTGCGTCGATCCTCCCATTTTTTCTCTCCCTCAAATTAATTCCAATATTCAATCTATTATAAAGATTGATGCTTGATTAATTTCTTGATTGCAATTTTTTTTCGTTTTTTTTTTCAGAAGTATCGGCTCCTCGCACGAAAACTTGCTCCGAAAACAAACACCCTAGTCGGAATAGGAAGTTTGTGGATGCCCCAGCAACAAAAAGAGTCTTCCAAGAAGAGCAATTCACAATTCGGCTCGCCTGTGGGCCCACTTCTCTTAGCCTCGTCGTCTAGGGTTTCTTCCATTGTCGAAGAAGACGACGAGAAATCCGAGCTGTAAGAATTTTGATGTGTATAAAAATCTGTCCAAACGTGAGCCTTTTTTTTTTTGCAGATACAAGAAAGTGAGGGAACTTTGATGATTATTAGAAACTCTTTTTTAATTTTTTTTTAAATTATTGTTTTACTTGTACAATTGCCATAGAAGAGAGATCTTGAGGGGCAGAGTGCAAATTTTTGCAGGATTAGATTAATTGAATTTTTCTTAAATAATTTGTTGTATTGGTGCACAAGATTCTGGTAAGATTTTTGCTCTATTAATTATTGCCGCCTCATAATTATTTAATTAATTAAATTGATGAATCTATCTTGGAATTAATTAATTTAAATTATTTTTTGCTTGGTTTGACAAGACTACACATATTAGATTAAAAGTTTAAAATAAAGAAATATTGACTTTTTGGAGGACTCCATTATTTCCTGCCACCTGTCTTGGAATAAAAAGGCAAATATATTGGAATCAAAATTAAAATAATAATTCTTGTGACTTAATTGATGGAAACTTAATTAAATAACTTAAAAGTGATTAATTAACTATACAATTGACAACAATGGTTCACAGACAGACAAAAAGATGAGAATCTTGATTTGTTCAAATGTTCAAACTTGGAGAGAAAGCTTATGCTTTTCAAATTCAATTCCTTTTTGGGTAAATCAATTAATTATTATTTTAGTTAATCTTTTTGTAATTTGCACTCTACCCCTTGAGTTTTGCACTTCTATGGCATATTTGTTATTGTTATCGTAGTACGAAAATCATTATTATAATGGATATTGCATCGGACAAACCGGGCTTTGTTTGACCATTATCAAGCAAATTGTTCGATTATGTTGGACCGATACAGTCAGTAACAATAAGTAATAACATTTCTACCGTGTGAAATATTAACCTTGATTAGTATATACTAATGTCAATCAAACTCATTAAACACAATCCAAGGATACAATTAACTTCATTAGAAGCTTGTTTTTAATTGGCTCATCAAAAATTACAAAAAAACAATTTGTTGTCCCTTGTGATATCTATCCAAAATAGTGCAAAAATAAATAAAAAAATCAAAATAATGGAGAAAGAATCTTTAAGACAAAACATGAAATGAGTGAGCCTACATTCAATTTTAAAATGGGCAAAAATTAAAAATTAATAAATGTTTGGTGAAGTGTTTAGAGTGGGAAAAAGGTGGAACCACCTAATTAGCCTTTCATTCTACTTAAGAGCTATTTTATTTAATTTTAATTTTAATTTAATTTTTAAGTGGTTCCTAATTGATTGGATTCCATTTTTCAAATACAGCCAAAATTTCCTCAACTGTAGAATTATTTTATTATTGGTATTGGGGAATCTGATACCATGCAACATATGGTTCTTTTTTACATGCTCATACCATAATATTCCTTACAAAATGTGTGCCTATTATTGGTGTAAGAATGATTCTCAAGCAAGGGCATAAACGACAATTACTGTTCTTAAAATGGATTAGTGATCGAATTAGTGTATTCGAACCAGAAGGAACGGTTAGGATCTACATTCTCAAGACTTCCTTCCAAGCCCAACTCCTTTAAGGCCGTCGGAACGCACACCGGATGCCAAATCTTAGACAGGCAATGGTGAATTGGTAAACAGAAAATAGTAAATGTGTGAGAGAGTTTAGAAGAGAGTATACAAGTATTTTATTGATGTTTTATCGTATTTTTAATCCGACTTGTCACAAGACTTTATATATATAGGAAGACCACTATAATTGCTTCCTGGTTTAACTCGCTTTAGTTAGGTCGAGATTTACATTGATTGCTCTATTATTACACTTATTTACATACTTTCTTTATCTATTTAGGAAAACTATGTTTGAGTCTTCTACTTCTAACTGCTCTCTCGTTCAGCTCGCCACCTACCCCGTTGATTTGCCTCTGGCATGTTCGGATGGGCTGACGAGCTTGTTGTTCTTAAGAGACCTTGTCCTTGATGTGTATTGGGTCGGTGGGCCCAATAAATCTCTTTTGACCCATATATTTTATCCTTATATTATTTAATAAGCTCAATATAGGAAATTTGACCCAAGCTTGCCAAACTGATCCCATATATATATATATAATATAATTTTGTTAAATATTGAAATACATAAACACTAGTAATTTTTTTTATATTTCTTCTTCAATTCTCAGAGCAAAATTATTCATCTCATCGTAATTTTGAAATAACAAAAGGGTAAAATGGCAAAAACACATTTTCAAATTAACGGTTATACACCGATCAAATGGAGATTTTTGTAATTATGCAAACACAATGGGAATATTTATAATCAAGCCTTACCTCACAGTTTGTTTTCATGATTTGATGTTAATTTATTTTGCAAAATCGAAATAAAATACTAAATTTAAACATACTAAATTCGATTATGTACATTTTATAATTTTGAAGTATGAGTTACTAGAACACAAAAATGACACATAAAAAAAACGTGCGCAAAATGAATTCTAAGCACATGGTATTTACCTTTTTATTTTATTATTATTATTAGTTGGGTAAATTACACTTACACCCCTAAGTTATGATAAAATAACTTTAAGGTCCTTGTGGTGTTGGTAATTACAACCACACCCCTGAACCAATTACCGGAGCCAAAATTTCACGCTCTGGGGCCCGATATGGACTATATTTGTACCCCGTGGGGCCGTTAATGCCACCATGGACAAAAATTTATAAATCGTAGTTAAAATAATAACAATTTAAGAAATGTTAGGAGAGTCATGTCACCCCCTAGCTTTATGTTACTCCACGACTCTCTGAAACTAATAGTCCGCTTAGAACCCCAACGGAGTAACTTATCCAATGCATTATTCCGTTAGGGTGTCTAACAATATTTCAGATGCGATTATAATTACCGATAATACAAGGATCTTAAAGTTATTTTAGCATACATCGGGGGTGTATATCTAATTTACACTTATTATATTACATAACACACTTGTGTGTTTATAGATGAGACCCCCCAATAAAATAGAAGGTTCTCTTCAAACCTTAAAAGAAGGAAAAAAATAAAAAAAATCAGGTCAAACACCACAAATATCGGTCAAACCTCGGAATGCAAAACCATGAAAATCTCACTTACAACTCCAAATAAATCATTTGAACAACAATACTAAAATTCAGGAGGAAACAACAAATTCCCATCCAACAATTCCTTAACCAATCACACACACACACACACACAATAAAAACGTGCATAAAAAACTCCCCCTCTCCCACTTTATAGTTTCCAACTAAAAACATAAATAAATAAAATAAAAAAATAAATAATAAAAAAAATAAACTAAAAAAAAAAAAGAAATCTTTAATTTGATCCAAGAACCGGATCATTCAAAAATGGCTCAAATGAATCAGAGAGATTTCGACAATAGGGAAAGCGAGAGGAGGAGCAGCGGCGGCTCGTTCAAGTTCAATGTGGCGGCGCCGGAGTTTGTTCCGACGGTGTCCCAGACGGCGGCGCCGCCGCCTGTTCCGGCGCAGGTGCCCATAACGGGATACTTCTACCCGTGCTTTCAGTCGATCGACGGAGGGAGTGGGAGTTGGATTTACGTCGCCGATCAAGAAATTGCGATCCCTTTAATCCAATCCAAGATTAATGCTAAAGTGGGCCCCGCCCAGATCGCGGCGGCTGCCGCCGCCGCCACCGTGCACCACCACCATAACAACAATCAGCCGCCCAAGGAAATTGCCCTAGCTGATGAGCTTAAGCAGAAGATCATCAAACAGGTTTTGGTTTCTCTCTCTCTCTCTCTCTCTCTCTCTCTCTCTCTCTCTCTCTCTCTCTCTCTCTCTCTCTAAAGAATGAATCTTGGAATAAAAACAGGCAGAATACATGTTTAGTGATATGAGCATGCTGGCAAATGAGACACTTGCAAAGCACGTGAGTAAAGATCCTGAAGGCTATGGTGAGACATTATATTGTGAATTAAATATATATTTCTTTCTTTTTACTTTTAATCATTTTTAAAAAAAAATAATTTTTTTTTTGTATCGACAGTGCCGATTAATTTTGTTTCGACTTTGAAGAAACTGAAATCGCTCAACGTGAATAATCAAATGGTGGCGCAGGCTCTTCGCTCGTCTTCGAAACTGGTCAGCATTGCATGCATGCATCCCCTTTCAGCGAAAATACGATACATGCATGCATCGTTTTATCGATTTTTGGATTTAATATTTTTTTTATTTATTTGTGTATACATATATATTTAGGTTGTAAGCAATGATGGCAAGAAAGTGAAACGCAAACACCCCTTCACCGAAAAAGAGAAGGAGGAGCTGCAGGTATACACACACATATATATATATAGATATGGATTTATGTATGTATGTATAGTTCTTGACTCATTCATAATGATCGAATTTTACACGCAGTTGCGAACTGTTATAGCGGAGAATCTACCGGACGATCACTCTCATCAGAAAATCGAGAAAATGTTTAATGTCGTTGGAAGGTAATAATTGAAACATATTATTTTCTTCTTTTGCTCGATAAATTTAATTTATGTTTTTTATTTCGTAATTATCGATTATGTATTTATATGGCGATAAATATATAATGCAGTATCAAGTCGATCCGTATATGCCAACCACAAGAACACAATTCTTCTCGATCTTCTAAAGGCGATATCGTTGTTAGTAATAAGGTATATATATATATATATATGTATGATATGGTTTTCTTGCAAGAATGTACTTTAATTCTTTTATATGTGGCGGCTTAATTGATTTTTAACCCGTTTTCGTCATTTTTTTTCTCCGTGTGAGTAGTTGCATGCTCTTGTCGAGTATGAGAACCATGAAACGGCAGAGAGAGCGGTATGTGTTCACTTTCGAGCATTTTATTTCTTTTCGTTCTTGATATTATGAGTTTTTTGAACATTATTTTTAACGTTTTTTTTAGGCGGAGAAATTAAACGATGAAAGAAACTGGCGAAAAGGGATGCGAGTGAGGCTTATGCTCAAGCGTTCGGTGGGTGAAAAAACTCAATTTCTTACGAAGCACTATTTGTTGACACTTATGTATGAAAAACATCTAATGTCGTCAAGGGTTATTTGGTAATTTTGCAGCCCAAGTCCGTCCTTAAGAACCGAAAGTCGGAATTCGAAGTGTGTTTAGACGACGACCATCATCACGCGCACGAGGATGGATCTCGGCTTAGCAGCTCAGAAAATGAGGTAAAGCTGCTCAGCAGCACTCCATCAGATGCTACACCTAGTGAAATACACCCGATGTATAATCCATTTCAAATTTCATTTCATTTACATTTGCATTTAATTTCGTGTAGGGCGACGACAATCCATCGGCATTGAAGAGAAGTTGGTCAAGAAACCGAGGGAAAGCTACAAAGACTCAGCGCCCTCAGCTTCAAGGCACACGAAGCTTGCCTACCCCGTCATCGCACGCTGGAAGCTCCTTTGCGGGCCAGCCCGTTAAGGGGCCCAGAATGCCTGACGGGACCCGCGGGTTCACTATGGGCCGAGGGAAGCCAATTGCTATTCCGGTTCAATCCAGTTAAAACGAAAAACTTTAACATTAGAAACAAAAACAAAACAAAAAGGAATGGCAAATATTTTTTATATTTCCATCCTAGACATAAAATAGTGTGGAAATTAAACTATTTTATGGGATTTGTTTGTGTTTTTTTTCTTCATTTTTTCGGGACTCTGCGGAGGATGGATTAAAATAGTGTACATCAATATAGCGATCGTGTTTTTTCGACAGAGTCGTCGGAGGTTATTTGTAATCGATTCTACGGCCAATGTGGTCGGTGATTTTTATTTTTTATTATTTATTTATTTTTATTTTTTTGAGGGTGGGGGGTTTAGAAAGTAGAGTTTATAAGAATAGAAGATTTATGAGATTTTTGTATGTTGAATTCTCATGCAAGAGTCATGATGAATCTTCAATTATTATTTTTAAAGTTAAATGTATCTTCATCTCTTTTGAATTCTGCAGTGAGAAACTTATTTTGTTTATTCTTGATTTTAAGAATTCGTTTTATTTATATTAAATAGTTTTAGATCGTGCAATGCAATTAAATTTGAAATACAATGATAAGAATAAAAGTAATTCTTTTACTACTTTAAAAGTATTTAAATCTATTTAAAATCAAGTAATTGTTTTACTACTTTAAAGGTATTTAAAATCTTATTACATATTAGTGGTAATGAAATAGTGATTTTAAAATTATTTTACTAATTTCAAATACTTATAGGGTCGCGTTCTGTTACAGGTTCGGTTGACAAGATTCATACTTACTTAAACCTGCTATAAAAATTAAAGTTCAAAAATTAAATGTTACTATTTTATTAAATTAGTAGCATCCCTCACGGAGATTAATTTAGTAGTGGGTAACTAAACAAGTAAAAGACAATTTTATGATTCAAACCACATATTAATTTTGTTAAATAAAAGATCTTATAGACAAATCTCGTATAATACTAGAATCTAACAAATTTAATACAAAATCTAATACAATGAACCGAACGTCTTACTAACTAAATAATTAATTAGTCAAAAATTAATCCAATCTCAGCTAATTTAAATAATTCGATGGAAAAAAAAAATTAAATAAATAAAGTCAGATACGAAGTATGCTATTTATTTCCCAAGAATTGTAGTAGCAAAATCCATAAGCTTAACATAAATACTGAGAAACTGAGACAGTTTAGAACCAAAATTTCATTTCCTCTCAACATTTCATTCTTTCTTTTGAATAATGTTACATTTAATAAGGGCCTTTTGAAACAATTAATTACTTTACAATGTAAATAATTTCATACAGTAAAACAAGTGCCCCCTCTTCTTTTTTTCCTCTTTGAGGAGAGAGAGAGAGAGAGAAAATCTAACTAGGTCGCCTGACGGAGCATCTGCTGAAGTTGAATTACTTGCCTCTGCTCGTCCGGCGAGAGTGAACTTAGCTGCTCCGGTGTCAAATTCAGCATTTGCTGAAGTAACGCAGAATCCACGTCAGCAGGAAGTTGCATCTGTAAACAAATAATAAAGAATTACATCAATATTAGCCTCTGCATGTTCGTGTTTTTAACTTAAGTCGAAATTATAAAAAAAAAAAAAAAAAAAAAAAAAGTTTACATCAATATCAATATCTCCTATAGTTTCTTCACCGATCGTAAAAATATAACTGAAACGAGTGCCTTAACAATTACCTGAGTGGGCGGAGTCTCGTAATGTGGTTTTGCCGAAGGTTGTCTTACTGCAGCATTCGAATTTAGAAACGGTGCGGGAAGTGATGTAGCTATGTTGACAGTGTGTGAAGAAGGGGTTGACTTTCCACCGTTGAGTTTCGCCATTTTCGATGCTCTGTCGATTTGGTCAACACTATCGGTGACCATTCTTTTCTTCTCGGGGACACTTAACGAATGCACTCTTAAATCCATATTTTCTGGCATGGCGGAGGATGTTGAGGAGCTAATATTCTGTTATCAGAAAAAGAGAAACGGCACATAAGCATTCGTCATACACAAAAAATAACAACAATCACAAATTTACTACGTATTCCAAGGAGATAGACATAAAGGCAAAAAAAAAATCGACAATTTTCGTTATATTAAGGGTAAATTACAATCAACCCCCTGAGGTATGTCATAATAACTTTAGGGTCCCTGTGGTATTGACAATTACAACCACCCCTAAAACTAACGTGACATTAAAAACCCTAACGTGAAGGGTGTTGTTGTAATTACGAATATCACAAGGACCTTAAAATTATTATAGCAAACCTCAAGAGGGTTGGTTGTAATTTACCCTCAGGGTGTTTGCTAGAGATTTTGAAAACTTATTAATGAACTTTTTTTTGACTGATAATCAGTTATTGAGGGTTTGTAAAACCAAGTTTTGCTTTTGTTCTCTAAAAATAAGTTGCTTTAATCTATAATCTGAAAAGCACATATGGAGTAGCTTTTTATGGATTAAAAGCACTTTTGGAAATACTACCAATGGTATTCGACATTTATACCGTCATTGCTTTTTTATCTAAATTCGTTTAATATGGATATTTTAGATATTTCACCAAAATAAGCTAAAAAATTAAATTGATTTGCAACCACGCCCATAATAAGCATTTTGTTTCAACTTTACTCACAATCCCCAACTTCTACTTATAAGCTTTTGCAAACACCCTCCATAAACTATGTACATCCATCAGCATAATAGCTTTTGGAAATGATTCGAAGAATGACAAATTGTCGGTTCGGTAAAGATATCCAACAAATAAGTTGAATCGTTTCTTAAATGCTTCAGCATAATAGCTTCTTGACTTCTTTTTTTCAATTCTTGCATTACGATTAAAATAAAGATTGGCACCTGAAAACTTGGAGCTGAAAATTGTGAATGCATAGGATGTGTGGCGGCATTCTGAAGCATCGGCTGATCGTTGTACACGGAATTAGGACGTTGGCTTTGCACTAGTTGTGGGCGTTGAATTTGAGGTTGTAATGTTGGAAACTGTTGAATTCCTGCATACTGGTTTGGTACACCGGCCAATAATCGACTTTCTTGTCCATAAGGCGGCGGTTGCATTCTGTTCTGGGCAAGTGGCGGCAGCCCGGGTGCGGTTTGAGCAACTTGCACCACTGGTTGAGTAGAAGCTTGCTGATTATTATTCGGCATTTGTAACTGCATATAGTTCAAAGAATCGAACGCACAAGAATATTAAGTAAAACAAAAACGGCGATGAAGGAAGGTAAAAAAATTAAAAATTCATTCTTGATGAACGGAACATACCATTTGTGGGGAGACGATTCCGAGAATAATCTGGGCCTGCATTCAAATTCAAATAGAAGTCGTAAATCAATCTCGTAAACTACCAAGTAATATTGATAAATAACTATTCAAACTATCGGAGGATGGTAAGAACCTGGAAAAGAGCTTTAGGCAAGCTCGGGTTGGCGAGTAAGAGCTGGCGAGCTTGTTCTTTATTTTGTGTAGCCACTGCCTTCATTTCAGAGACAACCTCTATAAGCTGACTCCTCGACATTTTGGCCAAATGACGAGTCAAAGGGTCGGTGCCCAATAAGGGCTGACTTTGAAAACCGGTCTGGTTAGATGTGCTCGTCTGAGCTGATCCGAGAGCTCCTGCCATGACAGTTGCAGCAGCCATAGCAACTGAATCGCCTATCGGCTGATGAAGACCGGGGTTTCCTTGCACTGGTTGACCCCCAAATTGTTTAATACCATCTGCATTATAAAAAATTATTAAAATAACAGCATAAATAAAAGTAAGATAACTTCAAATTTTTATTCGGATATAGATGAAAAATGAAAAAATTCAATAATTTGACTTACCGACACTCGAGGAAACGCCAGGAACACCACGCACCTGCAAGAATATGAAACTATTAGCCAAAAATGTACGTAGTTAATCTTTGTATAATGAAGTAGATTATTAAATAATTTTACCTGTTCACGACCCCGGTCGGTATTCTTGTCATTCTCAGCAAAGTCAACTCTTAGCTGTCGACCATTAATCTCGTAGCCCTGAAGATTACGGCGGGCACTTAGAGCAGTCTCTTCATCCTTGTACTCGCAGAATCCGTAACCTTTTGGTTTTCCAGTTTCTCTATCAATAACTAATCTGCGATAGTGAAAAACAATTTTAAAAAAAAATGTAATAATCCTTTTATTACCCCGACAACAATTTAAAAAAAACGATAGCAGGTTAAGAGGAGAACTGTAAACAATTAAGTACTTTTAAATGTGTTTTTGTCTTTCTCCAGTAACATTAAACTATTGAGTCCTATTAACTAAATAGTAGGGTTAATACCACGTTCGAGCGGAAAGATTCGAACTAATTTAATCCCACTATAAAAACTAAAGCCCGTAAATAACTCCGACTATTCAAAAAATTTAACCGATCACTGTACCCAAATAAGCCCTAAATGTTAAAATCGACCAAATAAAATAAATTAGCATCTAACAACCACAGAATCAAACCATATTGATACCACAATTACTGCTCGTAAACTAGAATTGAAACGCGTTAACTCCTCCATCGGGCCGCCATTAAAAATTCGAACTTTGTATACAAACTTTTAACATCAATTAGCAAATAGAAAAAAAAAATCTGAAATATTAATATTTTCCAGAAAAATTGATGTGAACTCACCTGAAGGAGACAACTGGACCAACCTCCTCGCAAATTTGAATCAGCTGTTCTTCGGTAGCGTCGTAAGGAATATTACCAACTGAATCAATAGCAATTATAAAAAAGTGAAATTCCGAAATCTCAAGAACTAAATTGAAGATACAAATTAAGTAAAATTAGGGGGAAAAAACACGAACCAAAAACGCAGCGATGCTGGGATTGAGGATTGGCGGCCATCAACGTAATCGAAAATCACAATTACAAAATCATCGAGAAATCGAATCCGATTACTCTGAAAATTTGAGAATACCTAACTGAAAATCGGAAAAAGAAAAAACTTATGAGTGATAAAAAAAGTGACCTATACCCCCTGTATTTATATTTAAAAGTCAAGGTTGTTCACGCGCTATTTGTGCGACTCTGGTGTGATTTTTTGTACAATTTTTTGTACGAAAAGACAAAATCGCCCCTCTTAATCTCTATGATTTTTTAATTTTCAATTTAAACAAATCTTATATCTTATATATAAAAGAAAAACGACTGTACGAGAGTATCTTAGGTCAGCAGCAATGAAGCATACTGCCATCTGAAAAAACGTGCGGCTTTTTTTTTTTTTTTTTTTTTTCTTTTTTTTTTTTTC